AGCTATGAAGACAAGCATGCTAAATGTCTTTTTAACCATCCTTTCTATGTGACACAAACTTCAAAGAATTATGTACCTGAATCCCTAGATCCCTTTGTTGTACCAAAATGCAATGCATCGCATTTATCCAGATTGAACTCCATCGACCACTTTTCAGCCCATTGACCCATTTGATCAAGATCCCTTTGATATCTTAGAAAACTTTCTTCACTGTCTGCTATGCCACCAATTTGGTGTTGTCTGCATACTAGCCATGTCTTCAATATTTCAAATCATTTACATAAATGACAAACAAAAGAAGACCCAGAACTGATCCCTATGGAACGCTGCTGGTGACAGGCCTCCAGTTCGAAAAGCAACCTTCTTCCATCACTCTCTATCTCCTGTCATTAAGCCAATTAAGTATCCAGTTGGCAAGCTCACCCTGAATCCCATGTGACCTAACTTTGCTAATTAGTCTAACATGCAGAAACTTGTCAAAGGCTTTAGTAAAGTCCAAGTAAGCAATGTCTCTGCTGCTCTGGCCTCATCAATCCTTTCAGTAACTTCCTCAAAAGACTCAATCAGGTTTGTGAGACAGGATTTTCCTCACACAGGACCATGCTGATTATCCCTGAGTAATTTTTTGTCTCTCTAAATGTTTATAAATCTTGTCTTTTAGAATCACCTCCAACAGCTTACCACATTGGTTAAGTGAATGCATAATAGATTGGCAGAGGAGTATATAATGTGGAGAAATTGTGATGTTGTCCACTTAGATAACAGAATATTATTTAAGTGAATAGGGACTGCAGAATTCTGCATGGGTGTCCTCGTGAATAAGTAAGAAAGTGTCAGTATACTGTCTAGTTAAGAAACTAAGTGGAATGTGGCTCTTGATTCAAGGGGGATGGTGTTTAAAATGAAGAAGTCTTGTTACAAAAATGCATTCATGAGACCACACTTGAGAGTACTGTATACAGCGTTGATTAGATTACTCAATGAGGGGCATAATTGCATTCAGAGACGATTCGCTGGGCTGTCTTTTGGGATGAAGAAGTTGCTTCACAAGGGAACATTGAGCAATTTTGGCCTATAGTTGGAGTTTTAAGTAATCTTATTAAAATGAAAGATCCTGAGAGGGCTTGAAAGGGTAGATGGTGAGTGATTGTTCTGTCTTTTGGGGAATCCTAGAACGAGAGGTTATTGTTTAAAATGGGGGCTCCCATTTCACACACAGATGAGGAATTTCTTTTGTGAGGATTGTTGGTGTTTAGTGAGCAGTGGTGGCTGGGTCAATGGATCTGCTCAGGGTGGAGTTGGACATACTTTTGATTGACAACTGAGTAAGCAATTACTGGGGACAGGCAGGAAAGTGGAATTAAGGCTGCATCAGATCAGCCATGATCATATTGACAATGCAGGCTTGGGGGGCCAAATAGTCCACCACTGCTGCTACCTCTAATAATCTTGAGTCATAAACTGTGATCTGTACACAATAGCTCCCAGATATTTGTGTCTGCTAGCCTTGTTCATTATTGTTACCTAAAAATAAACTGTATATTTCAGATTAGTCCTATTTCCTTGCATCGTATTAACATTTGTTGATATTAAGTGATGTGCCATCGTTTGGCACGTCCCACTAGCAAATCTAAGTAGTTTCACCAAAAAATCTAATCCTGTACAGTCTTAACATGCATGGTCTGGAAACTTACTGGCTGTAACTCCTGCACCATTGTCAGGTTAGCAAGGAAAACAGTAACTGACTTGACATTTATCCATCACTGTGGGACTCCACAAATAACCTGTCACCAGATTGATCAACAGATATTGACTGCCACTTCATTATATCAAATTTTCGTTGATATCTCTAAATTCTGCTATATCCTACCTTATGGTATACCTTATCAAAGACTTCTTTTTGCAGCCAATGTCAACAAGATTACCATCATCCATTAACCTAGTAGCTGTCTGAAAAAAAACCCAAGCACGTTTGTAAGGTATAAGTTTCTTTTACATTGAGCATCTTTTCTGGACCTTTCCAAGGGATCATTAAAAGCATTTCAAAATTCCCTTCAAACATCTTTTCAATAATCCAATATCAGATTGATGAATTTGTAATCTAAGGCTTTGATTGTCTGTGTTTGTACTACCTTGCAGTCTGAGGGAAATATACCTGACACTTTTGAACCTTCATGTCCTGTTTCTAATGCCTTTATGTCCTTGAAGATGTAGGCAAATAACTGTCGTCACATCTTTAGTTGTCCTTTGTTGGGCTCATTTAAATCTGGAGATTAATCTAGTTTGAGATTTCCTTTCCTATCTGAGATTACATCATTATCTATTTTAATATTTATAGAGTCACTGTGATACATGTACAGCTGGAAACTGAGCAGCTTCTGCAGGAATATAGACTGATGCAAATTTTGAACCTGGTGTATATCATCTTTTCATGGCCATACCATTGATGGTGTTCTGACTTCCTCATACAGCTGAGAAAAAATGTTGCTATCGCAAGCACGCTTGTGTGGTGTTTTCTTTCCTAAATATCTCTTAGATCCTTTAATGGCTTCTTCTGTTTCCATTAAATTCTGTGTCATATGTCTCCATTGAACTGAATTAAATTCCCTAAACTATAAAGTGTCTTTTGCTTAAGCACAATTTTTCTCTGCACATTTCCCGTCAAACGTAATGGTTTTGCTTTGCCATGTTTACTTTTAACCATTGAGTAATAAATGTCTGATTTCTTTTAGAATGGTTTTGGTAACAACCCTAATACATCTACATAGTGTGTTTAAAATGCACTGTTCCAATTTAATTCACAATAGTTTGATTCGATTAAAGATGATCAATCTTTTTATGTTTTCCTTTAAATCAGAATGCTTTCAAATTACTAAATCTTAAAACTGCACCTTTTCAATTTTTGGTTTCACCAACAAATCAATGAAAAGATTACCGTGCATTTTGTCGCTGTCACACATTGAGCTAAAGTTGTTTTATTAACTGTGTTGTAAGATATCTGCATTCTACTTATATGAAGGTTCATAACATTGTTATTTGAGAACTTGGCTTCTAAAGTGGGGCAAATGAATTTTAGTTTTAAGCTCTGTGAAGGTTAGAAGGTCATTTTGAACATCGAGTTCAAAACAACGTTTACAAGAAGTCATATGATTTCTGCTAAATGACCAGCAAACCACCTTTGGAAATAATGGTTAAGGTATTACCAACTTGAATTTTGTAACTACCAGAGAGGGAACAGAAGAAGAAGCTATGCAGGAAGTAGAGGCCAGTAACAGCAGAGGTGCTGTTACTAGCAATTGCCAAGCAGTTAGGATTTGGGAGAGGTCCTGAGACGCCTAGAAGTAGATGAGAAGAAAGCCTCAGAAGCAGATGATGATTGGCATGTCAGAGAGGAAGACATCTTACAAGTCTGTTGAATGCATGAATTTAGGGAAACCATGTTAAGTAATATTGAGCTGTGTTAGCACTTTGTTTTGAGGGTCTCTGGGAGGAACATTAGCTGAAGAAAGTAACATCTAATGAATGTGCAGAAATTGGTCACAGGAGAACTGATTATAATCATGTCAACTGAACTAGAAAATTCAGTGTGCAGATGGGATGACATTTGTGAAGTTTGAGTATTTGTAAGGATATTGCTTGAATAGAAAGGATGAATATTTCTGATATTTATATTGGGATTCTAACAGTTCTTACCTGGCGTTATATATATATATATATATATATATATATATATAGAGTTCATGTTTTTCTTTTGTGTATTAAAATTTTGTGTTCTTTTTGTTAAAAGTACATTGGCATCCTCTTGTGAATATGTTGAATGACTGACCACCACTGTAAACAAAAATAAAAATAAATCTTTTGGCTTATCAAACCAGATTTTGCTTTGCAATCTGGCTTATCCAATATTACCATCAGTTGGGATCGAGTAACAGTACACACTTTGAAGTGCCCCCGACCTAAGCGGGCAAGTCAAGTGGTAGTTTTTACATTACACTAACCCCAACTCTGAGTTGTGTGTCATTTTACTGGTGATTTGTTTTTCTACAGTTTCCCCAGGATGTTTGCTTTTTCCCTTGCTTCAACCCACATTGAATGTTGAGTGCATTATTCCTAACATTGTGATAGACACATTAAGACTTTAAATGAAACTACTCCATTAATTGAACTGTATTTAGCACCAGAAATATGTGTATCACTGCCAGATGATTAACCACATCATTTTTATCTCAATTTCTCAGTACTGTGTCAACACCTACATTCTGACAAAGTCACTTCCTCAGGATCTTAAATTTTATTACTTGAAATTTGTTGGTTACTATCATTTGATTGACTTACTGTGAAATAAAAGTTGATCGCTTTCAATCAGATAACATTTGTTTAAAAGTAGCAACACTTTGATTGTTCACTTCCAGGATTTATTTTATATATAACTTAGAAAATGAAACAACAGACTATTTCCTAGCAGTTTCATAGAGTTATGTAATATTTTTGGGTTAGTTTTAATTGGAATGAATTTTTTTTATTTGAATTAAGAAATTTTGTCTTATCCTTTAAATCGCTATTGTATTGAGGCTTTAGTTGTAGTTGACTTGTCCTCCCTCACAGATTCTGCTGTGTAGAATAGTTATTAATCTGGGAAGAAAATTGAGCCAGCCGCAGCAAATTACAATTTAAAGTAAGATATTAGCATTTATTCATTGATTCTCTTAATTAGTCATTCCAGTGTCATCATTCTAAATTCTATGTCATCAATTTCTCTAACTATGTGGCAACTATTAAACAAGCCTAGATAGTTTAAATCACTTTGCCTCTGTTCAACAGAACCCACATGAAGTACATAAAGGTTTCTGGTTTCAATAGAGATATTTCATTGAAATAAATTAATATTCAACTTTTGATACTATTAGGCATGACACCTTACAGTCAGGAAGAATGGTGTGATTGTTCTTTCTCGTCTAATATATGGAGCTGATTTTCACTTTTTCCTCCATACTGTGTAGGTCTGTGGTATTACGTTTCAGGAAGCAGGTGGCCGTGCCTAACTTTAATTGGTTCTCCTAACTTCGGGTACAGATCTGTGCATAGAGATCTGGAGGCTCAGCTAGCAATTATCACAGAAAACCACAAATTGCAGCAGCAATTACAGGAGGTCAGTAGTAAATTAGTAAACTTAAAAATGGAAGAAAATGTTTATTTTAGTTTTATGTTTAACAATCAGAACAATTATTTACATCCATTTTACTTAAAGGGACACATTTTTCACTTTAGTGCTCCTGGTGCAAAATTTAACATATTACCAATACGAAGAATGAACTTCCCTCAACTTTAAATCTGAATAGGTTAGTTATGAACCTTTTATTGGTATTTCTCAGTCAGAAGGATCCAAGTGTAGAGGCTAAGATATGCTACGGCTACAAATATTTGTGTCTTCCTTATTGTAGTGCAAACTTAATTTGTGCCATATAAAAATACATGGCTACAGAGTCACATTGCTCATGAAATGCTGTCTGTATGAAGTCTTGTACTGCATTGAAATTTGCGAATTAATTTTACATTGATGGAACAGTCTGCAGTACTGCCCACAATAAATAGTGATTTTCTTTTTCCTTAGCCCTTGTTCAGTTTTTCCATGAGAGTATCTTTGACAACAAATGAATCTTGATACTGATGTAAAATATACATTTCTTAAATGCCCATGGCTGTCTTAATATTTCAATATTCTTTCAAGTGCTGATGGGCTATAAACTACAGGTGCAAGCCTTTCCACTGAATGCCAGCTTTAATTATTGATCTTAATTAGCTCTTAAATGTTGTTTACTGCCTCCAGTAGCTGTTTATAACAAAACTTTTCACCCCCAACAATCTTTTCTGCATAGTGATAAAATCCTTCCAATCTCCCTGTTTAGCTTTTGATGTTAATTCTGTTGTTTACAGAGACAAGGTGCAGTTGAGACTATGGTGGGACTTAAAGATAAGGACAAGAATTGTACAATTTGCAATATTAGGGAGCTGGGGGCTGAATATTATGATCAAACAGAACTTGGTGTTGGATGAGATACAAGTAGTAGAGATTCTCCTGTCTTTTCAAATTTTCTGAACCTTCATAATCTCTCTTCTAGCTTTTTGAAATATACCGTCATGAATAACTGCATATACTATCATATAATAAAATGAACCCTGCAACTCAGAAAAATATTTGTACCTACTTTTTCTAGGAACAAGAAAATCTGTACTGCCTGTCGAATGAGATTTCGACTGTTACATTTGACCAATCAAACAGATATGTGAAGCTCTGGGTGAAATTGGTAACTCCACTAATAAAGAATTTTTTCTAAAATCTAAAGGAGCACCATTCCTGTTGTAAGTATTATAGTTTAACTGGGATTTTTTTTACATCTAAGTTTTTACTGCCAACTTTGTATCAATTCAAAACATCTGAAATCATGTATGGTCTCCACTGGCATCAGGATTATTGTATTTGAATGGTTGATTTCAGTTTTCTGCTACTAAAACTCTTCTCAAGCATTATGTTTTTAAGCAAAGGGAAGAAAGATCTTTATCAAGTAGTTTTTACTGTTTTCTTAGCATCTAAAAAGTTACTATGGGTTACTATTGAAGGACAAATCATAATGTTTTATCCCAGAAATATTGAATTTCAGGCCGAGTAATTATGGTATGATTCATTTTCTAACCGTTAGTTACATCTTAAAGAAAATGATGAGATAAAATTGATTGAGATACACCAGTGCCTTACACTTGTAACTGTTCAAATAATTTAAATTTTGGGAATATTGGAATAAACTCTGGACAAGAATTTGTTTGATTGCATTCTTACTGAACAACTGAGCTGCTGGAACTGAAATAAATGTGCAAGAGTGTGATGAATGAATGTATGTGAATATATTCTTTAACTTGCTAAAACTCAAAAAGAAACAAACAATTTGTTTCCTTTAAGGTACATGGGATACGTATGTCAGCATCTGTTTGGTGTAGAATTAATTTATGGGCAGAAAACAGAAGTGATGTCATGGATGAGGTGTTCTTGGCTATCAAGTTAGATTGTTGGCAGAGCAAAGGAGATTGAACAGAGATTTGATGGAAGGATACAAAATTATGACAGATTTTATTAAGGTAGACCAGTAAGGTTGTTTCCATTAGCGGATGTTAAGTGGACTATGGGACCCAAATATAAGGTTTTGGGGAGAAGATATTGGGTGGAGGGGGCGAAATCTGTTTTTTTGCAGTGTGTGATGATGACCCAGAATTCCCTGCCTGCCTGCCTTGGGGGGTAAAAGCTGAAACAACGATTTCAAAAGGAAATTGGATGGGTACTTGAGGGAACAAACTTGCAGAGCAAGCTGACTGGAATGTTTTACAGCCAATCGACAGGGACTCAGAGGGTTGATTGGCTTCTTTCTGTCCTGTAATGATTCCACGAGAGTATGACAGTAAAGACAAACTGGATGAGAATGGTCATGTCAGTATTTATACATTTTTTTTAATCCACTTATAGTTTGTAAGGGCAACAGTACAGTGTTTCAGAGGAGAAGAGCCCTAGAGTAATTAAAATTATTCAATTTTAACAGCAATCTAAGGGTTTAATTTAAAGGGGCAAGTCGTGGAAGTAAAGCTGAAGGCCTTGGTGTGCTCCTTCTGCTCTATATGGGAAGTCCTAGACCAGAACCTATACATCTCCAGCTGCACTTCCTAGAAGCATGGGTTTTAGAGCAGGAGTGACAGCTGGCATCACTGTGGTCATTCACGAGGCTGAGAGTATCGTGAATAGCACGTACAGGAAGATGGTCACTCCAGAGGCTGCGAGGGCTTGGATGACCAGCAGGCAGAGAAAGCAGATGAGGCAGGCAATGCAGCGATCCCCATTCCCCTGCATACCACATTGAATACCACTGTTGGGGGAGGAATGGTCTGTCAGAGGGAGACAGCCAAATTCATTGCACCACAGCTGGCTCTGCTGCATGGAAGTGGAGGAATAAGTGGGACAAGGCTATAGTAATATGGGATTCAATTACAAGGAGAGTAGATAGATAGACATTTTTATGGTCACAAACAAGGTGTAGAGCTGGATGAACACAGCAGGCCAAGCAGCATAAGAGGAGC